CATTCCTGAAGAAAGGTCTGAATGTTGCCGTTACTTTTGCAAGAGTGCATTTGTGGAGGCGATAAAAAGTCGTGGCTGTCTTGAGAGACAATATAAATGCAAACGACTGGGTGCCTCCGCCCCCATCAGTACCACTGGAATTGACTATGTCAAAGGCGGACAGACACGCTACGAGACAGATGGCTTGGTTTGTCATCACCCAAGATCGAGTAAGGCATTCCTCTAGCTCACTCTCTTTTTCTGCTGCACATTGGTTGATTTGTGGCTCTGTGCGAGGAAGCGGAGAGTGCAGACGGCGCATGGGCAGTGGGGGTGGACAATCGAATCAAAGGCATCATGGGTCTAGGTGTCGTTCCAAATGTCCAAGTAATTGCTCCTTCAAGGGGCCCTTCTTCCATCTGGACCCCTTTGCAACTTCTCCTGTCTAGCTCTGATGTAAAACGCCTCACACACTTCCCGGCTACCCCCCACTACCAAACCTCATTATGATTTATGCCCGAGCTGTCCCGGAATCTATGATTTCCAGAGTGCGTTGGGAAGAGTCCAGCTTATGAAATATGTTTCTTCGACTAGCCCAAACTCTTCCATCATCCAAACTCTCTCTCTCTCTCTCTCTCTGAGCTGTCAGACAGGCTCCCTGAGTAAGGAGCAAAGCAGGGACATGTGGAAACGGTCTAAGCTAGGTGTTTTTTTAATGAGTGACCCGCTGGAACGGCAAGTGGAATGACCCCACGACCTGTTGAGTGTAAAACGGCAGCCATGCTGAAACACAACGTCCCTGCAATCTCTGCTTTGGCAGGCCACTTTGGCAGATCCGTGCAAGCCAATTAGAAAGCAGAAAGCTTGAACAAACTACTGCTTCAGTCTGGGAGGAACACAAGCTCATTACTGCTCCACTTCTGTGATTCAAACCTTTGCAACATCTCCTGAGAAACAGACAACAACAAAATACACTATCTATCCCACATTTACCTCCAACAAAAAACAGCTTTATCCCATGTCAAAAAAAGAGGACAATGCTGGGATCTGGGGGCAGAGTACTCATGGGTTGAAAAATGCCATTTCTTGCTCATCTGTCATAGAATGGACAGGGCGCATTAGCAAGCATATGGTTAATTAATTCCCCTTAGACACTTAAATGGATGAGCGTTGAACACGGCAGCTCTCAGTCCTCTCATTAGCTGTCTAATTACTCTGACACCCCTCCTGCAGGGATCACAAGATCTTTGGCACTTTTGGGCAGCCATCTCATATTCGACTATGCAATCTTGACTATGAAAGAAAGGCTGATGTGAAGGTGCCAATCACCAATTTTGCAAATGGAAGTAAAACAAAGAAGATGACAGGTTTGATCAATGCCCTTGTTTTAGACTACTTCATTTAGTGAAGAGTTTGCTCTTGACTGAAGAAATATGTTTATTTTTTTATAGTTTATCTTTAAGGTCTTTGTTACTTGCGGCTTTCTTTAAGCACACATGGATTTTAAGCCCTTAAAAAAGACAAGTAGGTGTCAAATCAATCAGCAGACAAACCAGTGAGACCTTGGAGAGCACTCTTGAGTGTTAAGTTTCCCCAGTCACGAGTGCCTCATCTTTTCACAAAAACTCCCAGTGGAACTTCCTCTTTTCTATGTGCCCTCCTCTGGTCTCACTTCAAATTCAGACTGTTGACTATAATTGAGAGGCAGTGAAATGCACATCATCAGCAAGTTAGTAGATCAAAAAGTCTTAAGCCATTTTTCACTTTCACACTGAAGCTTAGAGGAATCTGTCTGGAGTGAGTAATATCCCTACTCTGGTAAGAGTGCGTATAAAGTCTGGCCACAGAGAATGCACTTTCCCAGAATGCCTTGATAAAACAGCTTCGTTTCGGCAGGCAGATACTATAGCAACTTGCCAATTTACAAGGCGGTTTTTGGTCCACAGTGATGCTATGCAAATTGCAAAGAAAGTTTCCCTGGGGTGACCTGGTGTTAAGTGTCATGCTCGAGGGTACCATGGTGAAAGAACAGAATTGTGACCTAACTTTCCAGTTGCAAAGTCTTCCACATTTAGGTTAAAGCAAGTCTCCTCATAATGTAGGCTACCACAAGCCGAAACTTCACTGTGACACAAACCCACAACCTGTATAAGACCTATAAACATCATCAGTCATTTCAACCCCAGAACATCCAATCCCTTGACAATCCAACAAAAATACATCTAGCTGAAGGTAAACCTGAAAATACAGTGAGCTGATTGTAATAATGAAGAAACAAAGAGACAGAAAACAAAAGACTGGAGCTTCAAATCAGTCGACAGTTGGAGTGAGTGTCTTGTGGCTATGACTGAGGTTGCATGTTGGGCGGTACAATGAGGACCCAGCACGCTAAGAAATGAACACAGAGGGAAGCTGATGACCTTCAGATGCCGAGGACATAATGACCTTCTTAATGAGCATGCCACCACTGAGAAAATGGCACACCACTCCCAGTTCTGCGATCTCACTCCTATCAAGGAAGCGATTCTTGCAAACTCCACAGAAAAAAAGAATAGGGGTAAATGGCAAAACTATGCAGCAAGTCAAAAACATCTGTCGGAAGGTTTAATTGGGTTCATTAGACAACACAGCTAGAGTTTCCAATTACAGGCCTACATAATTAATTGCACTTGAAATTAAATATATTTTCTCATCAGCTTTTAATTAAACGTGACCCCTTGCTGTTGATTGAATCCCAGATTCTCAGGGTGAGCTACGGTTTCATGCGTGTTTACCTGAGGTGCACAGGGAGATGAGCTTGATTTTGGAAGAGGGTTAGGATGGGGTGGGGTGTCTGTAATTACAAGAAGTGATTAAGATACATTGGCTTGGTGGGCTTTGCAGGGCTCCTAACAAGGTCAGAGCTTAACTAGCCATCTAGCTAACACAGAGAATAACTTCATTAAGCACAGTGCTTAGGCATTTAATGTAGACAACAGTATCTAGATTTGTTCCAAAAAGTGAGCTGCTGCCTACTAGGCATTCACCTATTAAGACACCACTTAAAAGTATTTTCAGTATAGAAAACAAATGCTCTACATAGACATCAATTCTGCATGGCACACATATAGAGCTTCTTGCAGGAAGCACATAGGAGACATAACTCACAATTGATTGCAGCAATAACCTAACGAGCATAAAACACACTGCAAACTTGCAATGCCTTCTACCTAAAAATTGAGCATAATGACGCATCTTTGAAAAGCATTTTACATAGGCAGCTATTAAGGTTAGTCGCATGCACCACATATAGTGTGCAAAGCACCCAAGAGTACCTTAAAATAGAGTTTTGAACAAAGCTGAGCAATTAGTATTATCAGCTAACAGTATTTTAATGTAGATTCCAAATCACTGTACAGAATCACAGGATAGCAATTGTTTTTTTTTTAATCAAAAATAGATGACTGGATGGATGGATGGTTAGAGTTCATTTCAGTTCTTTTACACTGGATTTTTTTGTTCTCAGTACCTAATCTGTGGAAAGCTGTTAGTCTGTAATAATGAAGACACATCTGTGAAATCTCCATTTGGATGCACCTTGTGCAAATTACTTTTTCCCTATATTTTCAACTTAAAAAATATATTATTTCATTCTGTGGGCTCTGTTTGAGATTGCACGTAACAATTCCCATTCTAAGCAGACACACATTATGCAAACCCATTTCATGCTGTTCTCTAAAAGATATTGGGTTATATAAAACATTATTGTTATTATTGATTTACTCTTTAAGGTATGGACACACTTTATTTGGAACTGCTAGACTAGCTCTCATCTTCTTACATGTACATTGGATTTTCCACTTCTTACATGGGATTATATGAAACATATAACAGAATTACTAGCAGACCTAGTAACATTCCGCACCACAGTAAAGTTCAGGTATGTCTGTAGTAAATGTTCAGACTAATACAGTTCAGAACTAATACAGCTGTAATAAATCATGGACAGTTAATGATTCTACGTAGTCTCTGTTTAAATCCAGAAATGTTAACCAAATGGGAAAAATCAAATCACACCAAGCATGAACTGTTGATATGGCTGAATCATATCTCACTTTATCTGTTGTCCATTATTGATTTGGTTCACTGACCAAGCTGAATACAGTTGTGGGACACTGAAATTTCCTAACAATGTGAGAAATCAATAGTGTTAAGTGTAATCTGCAGGAGCTGAGCAAATGATTGAAAAGTGAATCAACTACAGCATCTTTTTGTGACGCTACTCTGGCACAATGTGGAAACAGATCAAATTCAACACAAAAGTCATAACCAAAAAATAAACACATAAGTCATCTCTTGTATGTTACACCTTTGATGCTGTTTTAAGGGAATATGAGAATGCAGAGGGGTGAACTTACCAATAAAATATGCCAACAGGAACACCAGGGTGACGGAGATGAGGATGGCACTAAGGGCGGCACATTTCCAGTTGCAGTGCTTATAGGGTTTCTTCAGGCTAAAGGCAGGCCGTGAAAAGGTGTTCCGCGGCAGGGGCCGGGGAGGGGGAGAATAGACAGTGCTGGATGTCAAAGGGTAGCCAGGTGAAGTCGTGCAGTACAAGGGCGAAGTCCCACCAGGCTTGAACAGAAAGTGTCTGCAGATACGCAGAAAAGGTTATTGCTTATGTTCACAGAAATAGGATGTTAGAGAGCACTGTGTGGTAAGTGTTTTCTCATCATGTTAAACAATATCTGTAGAGTGTGTAGGCTTGAGTCCCCGCACTGGTCAGTACTGCTGTCGCTAAGCACTTTTCCAAGCTGTTGCCATAGCCACCTCTGAGCAGTGGCAGCAAGACACACTGTGCCCCGTGGGGTGCGTTATATCAGAATTTTGAATCAATAACAAATTTAATTTACAGCGCGAGTGACCACAGTGGATTCTTGTTAATACAAAGCCCTCGTAGTGACTAATTCACCCTAAGGGTGCGTGTGTCAAGAAGCTGTGGGATAATGCAGGATGTACATTATCACGACAGCTTATTCACTGTGGATGGCGTAATCTATGGTGAAGTCGCTGACTTTGAATGTGCTGTCAAGCTGTACTGACCGGACAAGGGGAAACAGAAAGAAAGAAAACAAAACAACAGACTTGCAAAAAATCTTAAGCCTTGTGCACACTACAAAACAGAAGTTTGTCATGTTGGCACATTGCTATGTGCTAAAATTTGTACCAGGTTTTAAATTGGTTTCGGGACTGTAGCTAGCAATGCAAATACAAATTATCTTGTGAATTGCCCATCTCTGTCAGAGCCTTAGCCTCATGTGTATCGCTCCGGAGTTCAATGCCTGGCTCAATATTCTTTTTTCCTGATCCCATCCCCAACTCTCATCCCTAGTTGTTCCCATCTCTCCTTCACTGTCCTGTCCCAATAAAATTCCTCTAAAAATAACTTTTAAAAAGCCTTTCTCTGATTACTAGCATTAAGTTTGTAACTTAAATGTCAAAAACGTGGCAGTAAAAAAAACTATCAGGCTGACTCACTAACAACTGCGCTTGCCATAGATGCTGTCTAAAATCTGTGATTTCTATCAAGGTAACAGGGTTCAGTCTTGTAGTGTGCACTAAAGGACTTATGAACAGTTCCTTAGAGAAGAATGCTAATGCATTCAGGGTTAATTAGAAAAGTTGTTAGTTTGTGTTCAGAAATAATTATTGTTAAAAAAAAACATGCAATTCATACAGTAAGTGATGCAACGTGTTAGATTCTGTTACAAATGTCACTATGTAATGAGAAACAAGTGTCCACAGGTACCACTATGCAGCATGGCAAAGCAGATCCCAGCAGCCGTGGTCAGATCATGCAACATACCCATCAGTGTAAGCGCCATCGCGGCGAGCTGTGGCCAGTATGTCCATCTCTATAAAGTTGTCCTGTAAAGTCTCTAGGAATGTCTGCTTTGCTATGTTTCTACACACAGGTGGAGAGATGGACAGATGGAACGAGAGTGAGACATGCGTGGAAGAGGGAGACAGATGTGCAAACACAAAAATGCGATCACCCGGCAAATTTCTGTAAATGGACAGAGTGGAGAGACCGACAAAGACAAACAAACTCTAATTTCCAATGACAGGGTGCTGGTGCCAGATCCGGAGCCCAATTTGGAACCGTTTCATGTATTTCAACTGCAGTAAAAGCAGTGTTCAGGGGCAAAAAAAAACAAAAAAACTTTAAACCGATAGTTCTTAAACAATTTACTGACATCATAGAACAGAGGGCGAGAGAATCTCCACATCAAATTATATTTTTAAACAACAACTCAGTCTGGAAAGACTGATGTGAAACAAAACTAGATCAAACAAAAAGTAGATCTTTACCATTATCTTCTTACAAAGCTGTTTATACTGGAAACACCCATTGCATTGTGTGTTTAACTAAACAACAGTTCGTTCCCAACTTCTAATCTAGGTGGCAGAGTTACAAGAGTGCTGATGTTTTGTATAACAGCACAAGGGCGTATCCCAGCATGTGGGAAAGCAGTTAAATTGTTTCGGAAAGGTGCGAGAAAGTGATGCGCTGTGATTTAAGTAACAGCCAGTTATGAAAACGTCTCTCCAGCAGCTTAATTTTGGGTCAGTTTTGAAAGAGGTCCGCGGGTCCCATAGCTCTTCACCAGCACCAGCACCATTTCGGTGAAAGTGGGGGCGACCCATGCCCCTCTCTGCAAGCGTCCTGTTCTTCTCTGATAAACATTAGAGTATTCTGGCTCCTTTATGATTGTGGTTAAAAGAAAACAAGGCATTACTTTTCCATTCACTTCTTCATATTCTTTGTGTTTAATGGGCTGACACAACACTTTTCAGAAGAATCACACATTATACTGACAGAATTCCCAAGTGGTTACTCTAAATCCTGCTTTAAGATTTTTTTGTGCAGTTTTTAAATAATAAATGGTTTCATAAAGCAGAGGTTTATTAACATTCAGAGAGGAACTCAGTGTGCATTCAGTGAAGCATGTCTACTGTAGCTCCGTGCCCCCTGAGACGGCTGTTCCATAAGGGGAGACTGAGATAATGCAATGGAGAAATGAACCGTCGACATGCATTGGGCAGGCGCAACACCTTCAATTCAACAAGAGAAAATGTTTGCTTTCTTTTCTTCAGAGCTGTTCCAGACTGCTCTGCTGATTGTCTTTGGCTGGCTTATGTACATTTGTTGGTTTGTTCGGGCATTGGGAGGCAAATGAAAGTTTTAAATGAAGACGAGAAGGGCCCAGAGGCCGGTTTGGAGGAGTCAGAGAAGAAAACATAAAAGCAGCCAATAAAATAATGGCATTGCCTGGCTCTCGTCCAATGGGAGGGCTTGGTAAGCCTATATATCCAGGGACTCATCCAACTCATTCCAGCCCGCTGTACAAAAGTCGTGAGAGGGAACCATTACAAAGCCATTAGCTAAAGCCTAAATGACAGGCCATCTTTCACTGCCCTTGTGGATATTGCTAATGGTTCCAATTTCATCAGAGGGATTCGGATAATTGATCGCTCCTTTTTTAGATAGGAGGGAGCTTTGGAGGGTGGGGTGTTTCCGCCACTCTTCTTATGCCGCAGATCGGCTGGCATGACCATCTGTTTCCCTCTCCCGTGGGAATACCTGGTCCAGATTGGTGGGGGGGGGGGGGGGGGGGGGTTTATCCCCGTGAAACCCGGCACGCCCCACCTGAGAGCACTCACGCTCTTTTACCACACATGTACCTTGTGTTGTACGACCCATGCCCCTCTCTGCAAGCGTCCTGTTCTTCTCTGATAAACATTAGAGTATTCTGGCTCCTTTATGATTGTGGTTAAAAGAAAACAAGGCATTACTTTTCCATTCACTTCTTCATATTCTTTGTGTTTAATGGGCTGACACAACACTTTTCAGAAGAATCACACATTATACTGACAGAATTCCCAAGTGGTTACTCTAAATCCTGCTTTAAGATTTTTTTGTGCAGTTTTTAAATAATAAATGGTTTCATAAAGCAGAGGTTTATTAACATTCAGAGAGGAACTCAGTGTGCATTCAGTGAAGCATGTCTGCTGTAGCTCCGTGCCCCCTGAGACGTCTGTTCCATAAGGGGAGACTGAGATAATGCAATGGAGAAATGAACCGTCGACATGCATTGGGCAGGCGCAACACCTTCAATTCAACAAGAGAAAATGTTTGCTTTCTTTTCTTCAGAGCTGTTCCAGACTGCTCTGCTGATTGTCTTTGGCTGGCTTATGTACATTTGTTGGTTTGTTCGGGCATTGGGAGGCAAATGAAAGTTTTAAATGAAGACGAGAAGGGCCCAGAGGCCGGTTTGGAGGAGTCAGAGAAGAAAACATAAAAGCAGCCAATAAAATAATGGCATTGCCTGGCTCTCGTCCAATGGGAGGGCTTGGTAAGCCTATATATCCAGGGACTCATCCAACTCATTCCAGCCCGCTGTACAAAAGTCGTGAGAGGGAACCATTACAAAGCCATTAGCTAAAGCCTAAATGACAGGCCATCTTTCACTGCCCTTGTGGATATTGCTAATGGTTCCAATTTCATCAGAGGGATTCGGATAATTGATCGCTCCTTTTTTAGATAGGAGGGAGCTTTGGAGGGTGGGGTGTTTCCGCCACTCTTCTTATGCCGCAGATCGGCTGGCATGACCATCTGTTTCCCTCTCCCGTGGGAATACCTGGTCCAGATTAAAGTTTGGGGAAATCCATGATGTTTAATCAGTCATTATGTTGCTAACTGTCCCTCAGCAAATTCAAATTAACATTAATTTTCCTGTTGAGTGGACCGTTCACACCCATGCTGGTCACAAACGCATCAAGACGACAAAGAAACAGAGAGTTTCCAAGCAAGTGTCCTAGTGTTTATGCGTATTAGTAAATAATACAATTGTTAGGATTCTTTCAACAATTATGTGGATTGGAGCAATGGTTATAATGGTCTACGTTAAGATAAGGGACCATGCGTTTAAGAGTTAAGTTTAAGTTCAGCCTGCAATGTTTTTTGATCCTACCTCCACCATAATTTCCAGCTACTCTCTATTATAACTATCCAAAATGAAGCACACACAAGAAAGGTGTGGGTTATATAATATTTCACTACAAAATTATATACACATTTATACATATACATATTTTTTTGAACACAAAGAAGCTCAGTTTAGGATCATTTGGGAAAAATTGCATGTATCAAGAAAATATCATGCTCATTACTGTAATAAAGTATAATGAAAACAATCTTGTGCAGACACAATTTTGCTTTCTTTCTTAATCAAATTCAACATTCATATATAGTAAAAAAAAAAAAACGAATTGTACTTTACAATTTTTTAAATTTATAATAATATACAATGTATTATATAAGCATCAAAAAGCTGAAAAAAATGTATAATCGTATTTATTTATTTTAGTTTTTTTTCTTTCTTTGAGAATCTTGAGATTTACATATAGTATAAAACTAGGTAAGAGGACCCACACACACACACACACACTGAAAAAAATGTATAATCGTATTTATTTATTTTAGTTTTTTTTCTTTCTTTGAGAATCTTGAGATTTACATATAGTATAAAACTAGGTAAGAGGTCCCACACACACACACACACACACACACACACACAAAACCTTACTTTAACTCTGCAATCCCAACAGTAAATCATTACAGTTTTCAGATTTGAGACCTGTGATATACAGATGCTCTTAGCACAAAGTTTAAAAAAAAGCTAAAACTTTTACAGCAGCTGAAATAAATATGAGCCATTTGGGTCGGCTGGGTTGAGCAGTGCAGGAGGTGGAGGTAATCTGAGTATCAGTATGTATCATTTCTCTTCAGGCTGGTCTGACAGCGCTGATTTGCCTCCGCCATGCATGAGAAGCAGCCCGAGCAATGCAAACAGACATCTGAGAGGTTCTTGACTGATCTCCTCCACACAAGTGCCTCAGATAGAAGCAAACAGAGCAAGGGCTGATGCGAGATAAAAAAAAAAGGAGCTGAGTTTGTAGCAAAGCCTCCTTCGGAACCTTGAGAGAATTCGCCCATCTATTGCATTTGGGTTTGAGATATCAGATCAGCAACACTGCCCGGAAAGCCCAGAAAAAAACAACACTTTTCTCTTGTTGTATATTTAGTCATGTTTTAAATGCATTCTGGCCTGATGCAGGAATTTATGTAAAAACGGAGCCGCATGAAACTTCTGTGTAACAGACCGTAAAGCTTCATTTAATTCTCAATTCAGCTAAATATTTCAGCAAGGTCATTCCTACTATCAGCACATTTTTATGTCCAATCATACTGTATTTTTATGAAATAAATATGGGGGAATACAGCTAGAAATTAAAAACTGGCAATTTAATTAATTAATATAAATTCACGATATTAATTTATTTACAATTAATTTTTCCAATATTGCTTTCCAGCCTGTTAGTCTTTTGTAAAATCCCTTGAACCTAAAAGCCTGTTGCTTAATGACATCAATCTCAGGAAATGACCATTTTTGGCGGGAAACCTATTATATATTAAAAATCTGTTCTACTATATAAAATATTAGACATGTGTATAATAACATAAAAATGTCAAAATACTGTAAAAATATAAATAATAACTTCAATCTGACACCTCATGTAAGCTAACTGGCTAACTTTGACTCTTTATTTCCACTTAGGTTCCATTTAGTTAACTGTTTCAATATCATGTTATGAGTTTATGAGCTTAAAATTGACCAGAGCGTTTTGAAAGTCTGGTATATTGTTTTACATAAATACTTAATTAAATTACAACACATGCATGTACAATTTATTTAAAAGTCTGAGACATCTAAAGGTACTGCATAACAGGAAGGACCCTTTAAACTATATTGTGCGTCAAGTAGAGTTAAAAGGCTACATAAAGACTCATTAAGTATTAACAGTGTAGTTGATCTTTTAAACAGATACAAACGCATAAAACGCTTCATGCAGCCAGCATATGCATGCATTACGATTAGGGATGTTCATTTTAACCGGTTAACCGTTAACCTACCGTGAATAATTTTGACCCGATTAATACAATCAGTTAAACGGTTTAAAAAGTCATTTACTTATTTATTTCTTTTTAGTAATTTATCAAAATCTTTAAAAAGGTTTGCTGCATAGTAGAAATACGCTATGCATATTTAAAAAAATGCGATTTTAGAGGAAAAAAACAACAACGTCTAAGTCGCATTTTATTATTTCATTCAGAAATAGGCCTAACGCAGACACAAAATGTTTTACAAACATTATAATAAACACTGTAAACATAGCTAGGCTATTTTAGTTCCCCTCACTCCACAACAAATCCTTTCAATTAACAGTATTTAGAAAAGAACAAGAATTAAAAATATAAGAAGCTATAGCTAAACGACAAGCCAAAACAAATTAATTTAGGTTAAAACGAAACTGAAACCAACGTTGTGTCTCTCATTCGACACAAAATCAAATGTTTCCGTGTTCGCGATGTATTTGAATGCCAAAATATTATTTATTATGTAGCCTACTTCACTTGCATTCCAATATCCACGTAAAACAAAATGTTTTGCATAACATCATTCACGGCGGTACGGTGATAACGCTTAACGGCACAGATTTTACTACATATTTAAACTGAGCAGTGTGGGTTTTTCCATATGTTTGACGGACTGTATTTTATTATGATGAACAGGCTGCATTGTCAAGGTAGCAATGCTTAACTGTGTGCGAAAACAAATCTTTCTGCTTTTGTAAAATAAGCCTAAAGAAAAATAGGATGCCGCTTTCTGTCGTCTGTTTCCTTTCGCGCAGCACAAAAATTAACTGAATCGCTGAATACTAGGCTACTTGTTGCACAGTTTTTCTTTCGTTTTCTTAATTTATTATTTAAGTAAAAATATATTTCTCGTATAGGCCTATTTATCGTTATATATATAGGCCTATAGCCTAGCTTTATTATGTTTTTCTCCACTGGCAGAAGCGCTGCAGGTGTGTGATGTAATATGAAGACCATGTGAATCCTCATGTTCTGTTGTTTGCTGCTTTTTGTGCATGTAAAATTAATCCCCGGGAAACAAATGTTAGTATATTTTTGAACAGGTCACAGACACGTATCCTTTCTAATTTAATTAAATTCGAATTTAAAATAATCTTGTCGGTTAACGGTTAATAATTGGTTAACGAGCGTCTGTTGTCGGTTAGGAAAAAATAACCGAAATGAACATCCCTACTTACGATGCATTATAAATGCCTGAGTCACTCAATTCTCTTTGACTATTTCATTAGCCATTGTACCACGAGAACATCACAGCCCCAAATGTACCTGGTCTCTAGAGGAACGTTGCTGTTGAGAAGCCAGTTGTCCTGGGCACTGCCTGAGTCCTGGGCACTTGTAGGACCCTCACTGAGAGCCGAGCAGCTGGGTGCCGGGCTCGGGTTGCTGCGCTGGGTGTAGTTGCTGCGGCTCAGAGAGCCAATGGAGGCGGCATGGTGTTGACTAGGGGAGTGGGAGTGCGACAGGGGCAGCGGTGGCGTCCGCAATCGAGAGTGGTTCTGGAACGAGACCTCTGAAAAGAGAGAAACAGCCTTATCAGCAACTAAATAAATAAAATTACTGCAGTGTTCATTAGCATGTGGTGTACATACATTTATCTGTAACGTATTTCTGATACTGGGCAAGTAAACAAGTCGATTTATTGGAAATGGCATAGTCAACTACTAAGGCAGCAGTTCCCAAACTGTCCTCTGGGGGCACACAAGAAAATGTCAGTAATGGCAGAATACTGCAGGAAATCCTGCTAGCAGCTGCTCAAGCAACATAGCACAAAATTATCGTTCATGTCATCTTATTAATTCCTTAATAAGTGTTTCCCCTCACTCCAACCAGTCTTTTGTAAAATCCCTTTAGCTAAAAAAAGCCTGTCGTTTAATGACAACATCCTCCAGGAAGTGACCTAATTTCGGCAGGAAATAACAGCACAAACATCAATAAGCATTATTTTTGGTGAATTCTGTGATGTTTAGTGTTATGACTTGGGATGTCTTACTATGAAACGACCCATCCTATTATATAAAGTATCAGAAATCAGTATAAAAATATAAAAATGTCAAAACACTGTAAAAAAATATAATAATAACTTTAAACTGACACCTCATGAAAGCTAACTTACTAACTTTAGCTAATTATTTCCATCCCTTTAGGTTATATTTTGTTAATTGCCTTACTATCAAATTATATTTAACAAAAATGATGAGCTTACGATTGACCAGAGCAGTTGATAAATGTGATTATATCTGTGGTATTAACATGTTACAGAGAGAAGGCTACTGGGGTAACAAGTATAACTAGACTCTTGTCAAAGAAAAGTGAAAGATAAGAAGACACCCAGCATACTACTTACTGTTCTGTGTCACATCCAAATAGGGCTCTGGCTTCTACTAACAGCTGGAATCTCACAAACACTCATCAGGCAAAACACGCTGCTGACAACCTGACATTATCGAGTAGACTGAATTACCCTCGTCAACCTGCTTGAAATTCATGCCATGATCAACTGCAGTTTGTGCGGATGGACCCGACAAGACAGTTTCAGCTTCCGAAAATGCTTTTGTCTCCTAAAGCCACTTTGCATCATGGGAGATGGGGGGCTATCAGACACGAGATTGTGAGAATCAGATAGTGGCAATCCAGACGCAGATAAAGACCCTTGTGTCCTTGTGCGCTCCAAAGCCATTCATTTCCATATCTGCTAAATCATTCATCAATCAATGAACTAGCGCCTCATTGCGCTAAGAAGCCTTACTTAACAAGAACAAAGCAGTTTCATTTTACACCTGTCGACAATACTCAACAGCCTCTTTACTGAGAGCTTAGGCTGTTGCTAAAGGTGAGGCTAATGCACTAATGATGTTTTATTTACATTTATGAGCAACTTTCATTCATTAAAAACGTATCACTGTGTTAAAGATGTTTTTACATTTATGAACAACTTTAAAGGGGACATATTATGCGATTTAAATTTTTCCTTTCTCTTTGGAGTGATACAAGGTCTTGGTGCATAAAGAAGATCTGTAAAGTTGCAAAGACTAAAGTCTCAAATCCAAAGAGATATTCTTTATAAAAGTTAAGAGTCAACCACGCCTACCTAAAAAGGGGCGTAACATTTCCGTCACACGCTTGAGGTATTCGGCCAATTACAACGCACTGGATAGCTGGCCAATCAGAGCACACCTCACTTTTCAGACTGATGAGCTTTGTAAAAATCGATGCGTTTCAGAAAGGCGGGGCATAGAGGAGAAATAATAATATACAGTATATGGAAAATAATGTGTTTTTTGAACCTTAAACCGCATAAACAAATTTCATCACCAAATACACAAAATAATGTTATTTTTAGCAGCATCATATGACCCCTTTAATTCATGTATAGCTTATGTGCTAAATATGCTTTATTTATTTTTATGAGCAACTTTCATTCGTTAAATGTATAGCTACTGCACTAAAGATGTTTTACATTTATTAGGTATATCTTATGTGCTAAAAACCTTTTATTTACATTTATGAACAACTTTGCATTTATTTGCTAAAAGTATAGCTAACATGCTAATGAAGTTTTATTTACATTTAAGAACAAGTTTATCTTCATTTATCATCATTCCCAAATGCAGAAAGTACAGAGTCCAAAACACACTTCTGAGGCCATAATTTCACAAACTATATAGGCTATGTGAAAACTGCACATAATAAAAATAGGTGTCAACCAAATATATAAATATACTATATGCAATATACCTGACAGATATTAAACAAATAAATAGACCAGGCATATTGCAAAAATCATAGTCTTCACAAGAAAAACAAACAAGGATTATGCATAATAATGACCGTATCCTTCACAGCGGGTTATCTGAAGTCCGACAGTAATTGTCTTTTGCTACAAAATCAAAGTGTTGATGGTTGTAGCTGCAATGCTTTTAAGGACATGAAGACAGAGACGGAACTTCTCAGAAACTGTCAGCACAATCTCTAGAAGTTGCATCTGTAAATGTATTCTTTATAAAGTACTGTCACCACAAATATTAAGTCAATCATCAGGTGCTGGACAACTAGTCGAACATCCTGACCAATCCGCATACTTTCCTTACACTTTGGATACATGCGAGTATACACATCTTTACCAATAGGTCTTACATATGTAGGATTTCTGTCTTCAAAAACAGAAACCACCTTCAGACACGGGTCACGACGAGGCGTTCCCCATAGCGACCCGTAGAGGACGCAGTTCGAAGTTCCCATGAAAGGGAATCTTCTATCTGCTGAACTGGTGCCGAGCTAATTTTAAGAAGTAAACATAAGCCAAGTCTCTGCTTTATGAATTTTCTCAGGTTGCAAGTAAAAGAACTGTAGCAAATATCTTGCTAAAACGTTGGGTTTTCCTCAGAACTCCGTTAACATAATTTCCCTGAACCCTTGTGTGTCTGTTTTAGCTTAGTTTCATGTAATCTAGAATAGCCAATAAATTCTTGTTTAATTTATAAAGAATCATTGTCTTGTGTTGTAATTTTAAAGCTGAAACTTGCCAAAATCTTGCTACCTTGCTCAAAATTAATAAGATTACCATTTTGTTTATGTGTCGTTGGCCACGAATTAATATGAACAGAATAG